TGGGGGATCTGTGTGTTATATATATATATATATATATATATATATATATATATATGAGTCTCAGCAGTGTTGATAAATAATATCAACAAGCGAAATGAGACAGTGATTTCCTTCGACCAGGGAACATTGTTGGAACTAGACTAAGCTACAGTAACAAGGAGGTAGCTAGACGAAGTGTCCCGATATTTCAGTGTTTTTTAAATAGAAAATAGCTTACGACCATGTAATATGCTCATGTATGTCCTTGAAAAAAGACGATTCAATGAACAGTTGAGTTTTGGCTCGGGCTTTGTGAGATCAGTGTAACAAAAGTATGCGTTTCAAGAAAGTACCGAATTCTGCAGTATGATTGGTTGTACAAATCTCTATGCTCGCATAGTCATGTTTTATCATTGTATCATTTTTACACCACGACTTCTTCAGGATACATTCATGGGTATCATTTAGTAGACTTGCCTTCGGCTGACATTTAACCCGTTTGCTGCTAGTGTCCCGTTTCGTACGGCATTTTGTAATGTGTTCAGGGTACAGAGAATTGTCCTGGTAATTGGCTTCAAACAAACAGAGGTTGAGGGAGCATATATAGACAATGTTGGACAAAAACAATTCAACCGTTCAGTATTTCTAGTGGGTTTGCAAAAGGTTTCAGTCTGTTGTTCCTGTTCAGCCCTAACCATTAACTGCAAATTGCGAAGACTGGGACAATCATCGGTGCAATAACTCAGGTAGATCTTGAAGGCTCCCGATGGGATTATGCAAGAATAGGCATTCATTGTAGAAGAGTGCATGTGGAATTCGGACGATTGAACCAGCAGCACCAAACAAATGTATCATAAATTAGAACGAACAGGCCTGAGCTTTGTGATTATGCTCTACAGTCTCATCAACTCAGTATAATCCATTGTGTTTGACTCAAAATAATACGTTTTTATCCGTTTCCAAGGCCAGCTGCTGTTCGATGAGCTAGGAAAATACTGACTGCATAGTCTATTCCGAATATTCATAACTTCATTAGTATTGTATTCAAGACGGCTTCATATGTTATGGACAACTGACCGCCTACTCAGCGTCATACTATGAGAAAATCTCGTTTCGTAACCTGAATTTGTTTGGAGCTTCCAGTTTCTTCACAAAGATGTAGGTGCAATCAGATTATTACCGAAGAAAGAAGAACATTCAGCTGTAGCACCCTTCCAGTGCCTAGCTGCCATGCCAACCGAAGGAAGCACGAGGGCTGGGATACTGCCAGGCCACCCAATTCTAGACAGAGGAAGTTGAGAGGCAGAGGTCGGGTTCGAACCATGGACCTTCCGGTCAGTAAATTCGCGCTCTAACCACTTGGACCATCCTGCCCCCAGATTACTACCAACACTGCAATTGACCTTCTACCTAAATGTTACATTCGGATTGTTTAGGAACGCTGAAAGATTAGGTCGAATCAATAGCCGAGACTTCCGATCTCCCGATTCACTTCCTACTGCTGGGATCTGAAGTCGAATAATCCTATCAGAAGAGCCAAACAGTGGGATAGAAGTTATGCTGACCGACGGTAAATTCCAGGACTCTATTCATGGAGTTACAGGAATTGGTTATGCAAATGAACAAGAGTGGCGACTATTCAGCATGTCATGTGTGACCAAAAACAGAATACTAATTAATCCAAGTCAGGTCGATAGGCGAACACTCGATAATGAACAGAAGAGTTGCGGTGCACAAGTTAACTGACCTGAAGCTCGATATCTTTCTGTTGTCCTTCAGCCCGAGCGTGCTCAAGCGCTTGGTCCAACACCCGATTTCGATCCAAAAGTGTCTTCCCTAACTCTGCAGCGAGAGCGAGGTCTGAAAAAAGCATATTGTCGGGGAAATACTATTAATCCATCACACAGTATGTGACTACCTGGAATACTTAGGCCATGTTTACCCATGATAATTTTCCGTAAAGGTTACACTTTTATCAGCAAGGCTGCCTTGAAGACTATTGCCTTTCGTTGGATTTCTTTTCCGTGTGTTTTATGTAGTGTGTTGAGAACGGGAACGGAAGAACAGTTTTTCGGTCTAGCAACTGAGAAGCATCACCGATTTGATCTGGGACTAGTGTTGAATAAATGTGCTCTAAGTTCGACAAACTACTTTGCCAGCGGTCGCAAAGTGAGGACTTTTAGAAAGCAACAGACCTCATTTGATAAGGCAGAAGCATGAAGACGAGAATGCAGACCGTTGATCCATCACAAAAGTGATTCCTACATTAGTGAACTGCAGCAAGCTGCGAATAGATCCGATGGCATACAAGTTTCCTACGTGGTTGGCTGCAAGGAGGTTGTGCATGCATTATTTGGGATCACTGCAGAGGAGCGGCCGTGGGACGCAAAGACCACTAGGTAGACAGACCTCAGCGCGGGGTTATGTAAATCCTTGCAAAGCAAGGATTTAGAGATAAGAGGCCTGCACATTTCGACCGGGGGTGATGACCAAAGAATACCATAAAAGAATCCGACGCCGTTGAATCTCCAAATTGCTAGAATTAACTGTAATAGAAAAATCTCAGAAAAGCCCTTCGTACACACACACTAGCAGGTGAACTATCTTGTTTGAGGTGGAAGTACGCTTGTTTGCGTTGATAATGCCATTTGAGAATGCGGCTCGAGATAGAACAGAGGTTAAGGCACGAAACCGCTGCCGAATCAAATTTCGGCATCTTGACTGTTTCTGTTTAGGTCTGAGTAACCTGGCTGTATTTCACTCATCGTGCTTTCTTCGGATGGAATGGCAACAAAGCACCGGGAGGATGGTACAGGCGAACGGTTAGTTACTTATTACTTACTTACATGGTATATCGAGGTTTACAGTCTTGAATAGCTAATGATAATGAAGATCAAAGTATAGATCTGTTAGCCTATTTAGGCCATTAACTGTTTCCAAACAAATTTTCCTCAAATCCGCCGGCGTTATCACATGGTCGCCAAAAAAGGGTATGAAGCCCGTCTCAATTACGAATCAGGAAAATAGCACAGAACTGAAACAAGAATCATAATCTAGTACACATTCTCTCGAATGATTCAGCTCTTACTAAGACATAAACCACGTGGTTACATTCGATCACAAACGATAAAAGCAGGTGACTGAAGCCAAGAAATCAATTTCCATTGGACCTTCGGGAAATGACGTTAGAAGTGAAGACTTACCACGGACGTACCAATCGCTATGATTAGGGGGTGACGAAGGATTGTTTGCATCTATACGAGAATGGGCTGGCAGTGATTCGTCTGTCATTGGGTCAAAGCATTTTGGGCTAAAAAAACAGGGACATGATTGGATATGACACGGATGAATGGCAACAGATTATGGTGGGCAGACGGATCTAGACTCCACAAGAATCCGAAAAAGTCTTCGCTAATAGTCAGTTATTTGCGTCAAAAAAGCGTCAAGAGGAGCTTCTGCAGCTTTCCACAAACAACTTATCGGTGCCCTTCGACCTTAGGCTGATGGTCAGCATCTAAGAATGACTGAGCAATAACTTTTAGAGGGTAAGCGCGTGTGAGTAATGTCACAAACTGGTTAGTTAGATGGGTCATCAAAGGGTTCGTATGACCTTCGGACTAGCCAAACTTTGATGACAATAAATCTCTCACACACAAAAAGCTGCATCTTAGGGCCACCTGTCTTTCGTCGCCCCATGGTTCATGGAGCATAGACTCGAGAGAAGACCGGTGGTATTCCAGTCTGATGGGAATAGCATGAACGAAATCTTCACACTTTGGAACAGCGCCATACGTAAAACTGACCAATAGCTTCGTAATCCTGGATTTCTAAGGTGCCTGTCTGTGTTGACCCATTTGTTCCACTTGAGACGCTTACCAAAAAATATCAAAAAATTTTATCAATAAAGTATGTTTTATGTATTTTCAGACTTCCGAAATTGCGACTATAGAGCAAGCTCTCCAAAAGTTTCTGTGCGAGAAGTGGCATCCGACAACGACGTCTTCTCTTTCTATTCAAATTCCATTTTTTGAAGAGACTGAACCTTACCGTGGTGTGACGGTTCGCGCACCTCACCAATCCATTGAGCTACACTGGGGGATATCCCCGCGACACTCACAAGGTCTCTCATACCAGGTTGGTCAATAGCTAGAGGTCTGACGAGCAGTCTCCTGGCCCTCCAGGTTCGGGGTTGGAACACGTGGCGACGTGCGCCGTAGAAATGGTACTGTACTTGCATTTCCCGCCAAAAAACGCTGCCTTGCGGTTAGGCTTTTGAGCCAAAGGTTTTGGCCGAGGACCCTAATCATCCTCCTGTCTACGTGTGGACGCCCTGACACGTACAACCACGACACTTAGAACTAACAATAAAAATCTCATGCCACATCGGTGGTCCTATGGTGCCATCAGTCGGGTCGCCTTACTCGCTGCATACAGCAGGGCGTGTAAGCGAAAACAGGCCACTGCTGACGCCTCCCTTCTTTCTCTTTCACACACTTTTTCTTTTTTTCCGTCACGAAGAGACTGGACCTTACTGTGGTGTGGCGGTTTGTGTACCTCGGCGACCCATTGAGCTATACTGGAGAGTGTCCGCACGATGTTCACAGAGTCTCTCATACCAGGTTGGTCCATGGGTAGAGGTCCGATGAACACAGTCTCCTGGCCCTCCAGGTTGGGGGTTGGAACATGTATGGCAAAGTGTTCCGTAAAAAATGGTAATGTACTTGCATTTCCAGCCGAACACCGCTGCCTTACGGTTAAGCTTTTGAGCCAAAGGCTTTGGATGAGGACCCTAATCGTTCTCCTGTCTAGGTGTGGGCGCCCTGACAGTATCCCAGCCCACGTACAACCATGAACTGCACATACACAAATAAACTCATACCACATCGGCCGTCGAGTGGTGACATCAGCCGGGTCGCCTTACTTGCTGCATACAGCAGGGCGGGTAAGCGAAAACATGCTACTGCTGACGCCTCCCTTCTTACACTTTCACGTTTTCCTTCTTTCACCCTCCCCCACCCAAGACATAGCTGGGTCTCAAAGGACATACCACAGTGCAGTTGTATCGCTGTGTGGCTGCAAGGCAGTAAGCAGTTCAACAGGTGAGTCTTGCTCATACACTGGATTCCCTCTGCATTGATGTATGTCGTCTGTCAGAAACAGGGATGCAGGATCGAACTGACAGCCCCTCGCTCTCTTCCAGGTTCCGAGTGCGCACCTATGACCGCTGCAACTGGATATGTTAGGGTGGGTATTGTATTGAGCGACCGGGCGGAAGCGTCTCTGATGGATTGGATACTCCTTGATAGTCGCCTCTGCGGTTCGTTTGGTAACATCCATGAGAGAACCTGGAGGAATTGAGGTCCATCACACCCTGTTTATTGTGTCTGCTTACCCCCCAACTAACTATAGCCCTGAATCTGCCAAGGACAGT